CGGCCCAATCCTCCTGCGGAGGGAGGAGGAGGAGGAGGTCCTCCTCGTGCGGAGCGGCTGCTGCGAGGAGGAGCACCGCGAAGGCACACCTGCAACCCGGCCACCCGCCCTCCCTCCAAACACCATCCTTACGCGCTTCGCGTGTTTGGAGACACAACCACCAGAAAAACAACACGATGCCATAAAACCTGTCCAACGCACAAAAATCCCAAAGAATATTTCAAGCAAGGAGAACATCCCCAGCTGCCCTGCCCACCCTGCCTCGCAGCGCTGGCAGGGCGAAGGGCGATACCGCATTCGAAACATGCACATCAGGAACACGAGTCTAAGTAACACAAGTAGTTTGGGTGGTTTATTAAAACCAGGGTCACCACTGGCATGAAAACAGAGCACTGCCAATATCTCAGAGGCTGTAACAAAGTTTTAAGAAGTTTCTCCTTTTTCAGATGTTGAGAGTTTTCAGAATCATGTTTCAAACCACCTAAAATCCCCTGGACTGTAAGGGCACCAGAAAAAATAAAAAATAAAAATGCACGAACTAGCAGTACTGAGGATACCAGAAACACGAGCTACCGTATCAGGGAGTTTTACTAGATCAAGATATTTCATAGAGCATTTACAATGAACAAAGATCCTTTTTTCAATCCACCTATTTGTCAGCTAAAAGCTTTTGACTTTAACGCTTGCGTGTAATTTCCCAGTCAGTCACTTCGAACGTGGATGTGTCAAAAAGAGGTGAGTGTTGGATGTCAAACATGCATACAGTGCAAGAAATCTCCCCAAATCTCTTACTGCTTAAACAGATATAAACATAATTTCTGCCAATTTTCCTTCTGTGAAAAGAAAGAAATAAAAATCACAGAAAGATCCTATAACAAGGCCTGAGATGTAAAAAAAAAGGTGCATATGAAAATAGAGCAGGTAATCAGGAAACTGTGAAACACCCACTGCAGCGAAACAGTAACGTCAGCAGCCAGGCAGCAGACCAGTTGCTTCTGACCTACTTTGGAATATAAATGAGTTAATACTCACATAACGAGGGAGCTTGTGTGTCTAAAAACCTCAGCAGGACATTCTGAAAAACAGGAAGACTGGAACCTGCCAAGGAGGCTGAAGACAGAGATTCCTTTTCATCTAGGACTTCAGATTCGCCACATCTCTGCACGGTTAAATAAATAAAAAAAAGCATGTGTCTACACACAAACGCATACAACATTCCCACAACGTGCATCTGAGGCAACGATACGTGTAATTATTTCCTAAAATCTGGACTTGCTCTAGAACAACAGGTTTTTCCCATTACCTAGTCTGGTTATTTCTAAGGCGTTTTATTTAATCCCTTTGGATTACTTATTGAAAAGAAATGCCCGAGGCACGTACCATCATCTGCAACGACACGGTTTCATAGAAAAGCGAAAATTTAAGATGCAGAACTTCCAGGACCAAGGTGAATGCAGAAGGTAACTCCCCTCGTTTGTGCAAATTACACTAAATATAAAAACCACCTGGGCAAACATCTCTGCTCGGAGCGGCTTTTGGTGCGAGCGAGGCAGAAACGAAGCAGCGAGCTCCCTTCCCCCTAACTCACGGTTTGCGGCGAGGAGCCGGCAAAGCAGAGATGCTCTGGAAAGTGAAAGTCTTTTTGCACCTCACCTCTGTACGTCTGTCTGCACAAAAGCACTTCTGAGAGTGCTCTCATCTGCCTGTCCCTGCACCCAGGCTGGACAGACACCACGCATCACTGTCCTGGGGGACCCTCTTTTCCAGGAAAAACACCACCCTCGTGCAGTAAAACCTGCCTGCCGGCGCGGCACGGGCGCAGGTGGAGCCCAGGCAGCGGTGCTGCGGGATGCAGGGAGCACCGTGGCTCAGCCGCAGCGACCCCCCTGCCTCCGCCACTCCTCGCCGCCCGGCGGGTTCCGCACTACCGGCGTTTCGAGGAGAAGTGCCAGCGTGTGCAACCGGAGCGGGGTCGTTCGCCACCGCGGACAGACAGTTTACAGCAAAGATGCCACTACAGCCTCCTGCTTCTCCAGTGAAACATTTCATTTCCCCTGGAAACAAAAGGAGCTCTACAGAATGCGACCTTTAAAGTTACACTTGAATTTTGGCTCGAAGTGGATCTCAGTTTTGGAACCCCCCGGCGCCCCCACCAGCCTGGCAGACCCACCCCCTGCTTTCTGAGCGACTCGGTTACTCCGGCACCCCGCTGCTTGGGCACGCCGCTCACCCACGGAGACGACTTCAAACACACACACATAAATCAGCTAACAGACCACTCTGAGTTTGGTTGTAATTTCTTCTGAAGTAGAAGGCTTTTTCATTTGAAATGTATCTAGAATTTAAAAACTGTAAATTGATGACAAAAATCCCCAGTGCTCCAAACGCTACCAAACTCGCTTTGCAACAAGTAGATATTAAAGTGATGTTTCCCTGGAAATACCTCACTTTTTCAGCACGCTGTTCGCACTACTCTGGAAGTAGGAACAACTTACTTCTGCTTCAATTTCTGCTTGCCTCTTCTCCAGGAGTTTGGCCACAGCCATGGCCCGGTGCTTACCGGACCGTTTGCAGCTCACGGCCCACTCGCAGAGCAGCATCACCACGGCTTCGTCGTTGGGGGCCACCTGTGTGGTGGAGAGCAAAGACAGAAAAGCATGTCACCCACACCGCCGACGGGCTGCTGTCGGAGCAAACAGCTGGCAGCAACCAGCGTTCTGCGGGATGGAGGCAAAAGCTGTGTTTTGTCCTTTGGTACTGGAAGAGGCACGCGTTTGCTTCGCTCCTACGGTCTTCAAGTGAAACGGAATCTGGAAGCAAAAGAGGGAAATCTCAGTTTTCACACTGCTCATAATCAAATCAAAATTTTCCTGCATCATAATTCTGATTCACGAAAACAGAAAAGGGTGACCTGCTTTCTGAGCAAGAGAAACAGGAAAAGCATACCACACACAAAGCCTCTCAACACCATCAACCACACAGAATTTACGCTTTCCTTACTTTATTTTTTCCAAATCTCCTCCATCTGTTTCCAGGCCATTACTTGCATGTCACTCACACATTAAAAAGAAACAAAACAAAATAAAAAAAAAAAATCCTAACCTCTAAAGTGTATCAGATAACCAAGGTCAAGAAACTCCCCAAAAGTTCCATTTATTTCTGACCTAACACAGACATTTTTAAGAAACAGTATGTGTCTTTAGAAAACTGGTATTCAGAGAAAAGCAACGGGATACAGCACGCTTACATCCACCGCCCGTTCAGCCAACCTCTGCTTCCACTAACCACCCACATTTTGGAAGTATTTTTTCCTGTGTGCTCCTGAACTGGACCTGCTGAGCTCCCTGCTCCTGCACAAGCCGGCTGCCATCCCAGAGTGCTGAAACACGCCACTGACCTGCAAACTAGGCAGATGGGATTTCATAGATTTCACAGATTTCTAGGTTGGAAAAGACCTTAGAGATCATCCAGTCCAACCGTCCCTAATCCCCCATTAAACCATATCCCTAAGTAGTTCATCCACCCTTTTCTTAAACACATCCAGGGATGGGGACTCAACCACCTCCCTGGGCAGATGGGATTTTTCCTTCTTTCCCTGAGTTCCATGGAAACTCCCCTTACAAGTAGACATGAGAAGGGCCAGAGTCACGCACCGCACCCTCAGAAAGCAAATACTTTTTCCAGAGTGATTGGGAATTACAGACCCACAAGCATGAAAGTTCCCGCCCCAAAGCTGTCCCGCTCGTCCTCCCCAGCAAACGCAAACCCCAAGGGTGCGCGGAGCGTGGCCGCGGGTACGTGCACACGCGTCGCACCACCAGTTTCCTGCTCACACGCTTCAAAGGCCCGGCAAGAGACACTACGTGACGGGGGGAGGGGGATGGAGGGGAGAGGGGAAAATGCTTTTCTCCCACCCAAATGCAGCGACACGGTGACGTCACCCACTGTCGTGGCTAGCGCAGCCAGCTAACACCAGAAGTATGGATACTGTTGATGTTTTTGAAGGCAATGCAGAACACCCAGAAGAGTCTGATCTTCACACTGACCTGTCTCCCTTCCTGCTAACCAGAGAAACCACGCCAACGAGAAAACCAAGCGCTTCCATAGCTCAAGTAGGTGACACCAACTCAGAGCTCGGGCAAAGCATGTCTGGTCACCCGTTCCTGAAGCTGTGCCCGCACCGCATCGCATCCCACGGCATCCCAGGGATGGCAACACGGGACCTTCTTCACCCTCCTTCCTACAGGGAACGGCTGAGTAGCTTATCTTCTCGAGCAAGGAGCAGGTGATGCTCCTCCAACCGAAAGCGAAGGAGGAGAGCCTTGAAGAGGTGAGGCAACGGGGCACCAACGCCAACCATCAGAGCTCGCTGTGCTGGGGCAAACAGAGGGAAATCCTGGCAAGAGCCATTTACAGGAAGACTTACATGGGGTCCTTCTGAAGGAAAAAACGGTTATAGAAGTGTTCCTACATGCTTTTGTTCTGGCCTAAAGAACAGGGCTTAGGTTGTTTTGGAAAATGTCAAGTCATAGGAGAAGAAAGCAAATTTTTTGTCCTTCAACTATTTCCCACTTGAGAGAAAGGAGGGTGCTTTTCCTCCAAGGAATACGCACACAGACAGACACTGAGCTACACGCACGCGTGCGCACATGTACAAATATTTCCTTTGGACACTGACTGGGACACTGAGCCAAGAACATCAGCCTGTTACTCAGCTGTCCTCGGAGCTACGCTCAGATACACTTTGCTCGGAGAAGCAAAGCCACGGAAGGCTGCAGCCGGGGAGATAACCGCTTCCACTGCCGCTGCGGCTCCGCTGCTCACCAACACATGGTCACGCCTTACGACAAACACGAAACAGCCCAAAGTAAAACTTCGGTCACCATATACAAGAACACACACAAAATTCAAACCAAACCACATGTGCCCGTGTTTTTGGAGTCCCAGTGCCTGTGCCACTCATCTCCGACCACGACGCACGCAGGGCTCAGCTCCCTCCGCCGCTCAGCCACCGGTCCCCGACAGCCATCGGGGAAGACATGAAACATCACGGTGTGCACCCATCTAAAAATTTCAACCACTCCACTTTTAAGTGCCTAAAACCAGTGAGTTTTGTTCTCAGGAACTCACACATGCAGAATCCCACCCGAGTGCAGGTAATTCTTTCAGCCCCCTGACACAGGCTTCTGTTGGGCACGTTGGCATCGCCAGAGCCACCGCCACGCACCCGCCTCTTGGAACACGGGGCCCTGCGGCAGCTGAGAAAAGTGAAGTTGAAGCATCTAACCATCAAATACTGTATTTTGCTTTTGACTGAAAATAACAAATGCATGTGCAAGCTGCATCAAGTCTCGCCAGTATAAACAATTACCCAAAACAAAGCCCCTACAGGAAGGATGACTCTACAGCAGCACACGGGCAGCAGAAGACTACGCTATCCAACCCACGGCTCATCTGTAGAGCCACAAACTGGAAAACGAGTTGGTCCAACGCTGGACCCTCCAGCTCTGAGGGCTCACTGCTTTGCTGAGCAGGACAGGGGTGTGCTGCTGCGGGGAGCCGAGGCGGCGGCAGCCCG